AGTCTTCTAGGGCATCTGTCAGTTTTACTTCGACTTCATTGAAGGCACTTCCCTGAGCTACCACAGCTGTATCATCCGCATAAATAAACTGTCTTGTTTGTTGGTTTTTAGGTTGATGTTGGTGTTGTATAGCAACGGCGCGAGGACACTTCCCTGTGGAAGTCCTTTTTTTTATCCCTCCACTGACTGTTCTTGGACTGGATCATTACGCATGAGCGTCTATTTTGGAGAAGACGTTTCATTAGCCTTGTTAGTCAGAAATCCTTTATAATTTCGTAGAGTTTTACCAGCAGCCGTTGATGGTTAACTGTATCATACGCGGCAGTCAGGTCTGTGAACGCTATTCCTGTTTTTTTCCGTTCAAACCCATCTTCAATATATTGGGTGAGATTAAGAGTTTGACTGCAGCAGCATTTTCTGGGTCTAAACCCTGCTTGTTCAGGAATAATTTTAGTGTCCACAGATTCAGCGATCCGGTTCAGTACCATTCTTTCGAACGCCTTGAAAGGGTGACACAAAAGAGAGACAGGTCTAAAACGCTTAAAGGATCTTTTCCTGGTTTTAAGAGGGCCACCACTTTAGCTTTGCTCCAGATTTTGGGGATTTGGAATGTACGGAGGCAACAGTTATCATTTTTACGAAGAACTCTAGGCTTTTTGGTCCAAAGTGCTTTATTTGTTCTATTCATATATCGTCTAGGCCAGCCGCTTTATTATCTTTCATTTGATGGATCGCACCTCTCATCTCATGCAGACAAAAGGAGAACCTAGAACATCCTTTTCTTCGTCGATATTTCGTTGTACTCTCACTTTGTTCTTCCTTGATGTCGTCTTACCATTTGTCAGGAGACGATGGGCTATCTGATCGGGTGTGACTTTTCTCAGATTGGGTGCCGGGGCGGCGGGATTGTTGCCAAAATTCCGAATTAATTTCCAAGCGCGTGCTGTTTTCCTTCATATCTAGATTCGTGACCAGCTTGCACCACCTGTACGTTCTGTTGGCGGATATCGCATGTAGCACTTTCTCCCCGGCCTTTATTGTTGCTTCCGAAAAGGGATTGTTTTCATATAGCTGCTGGTATCTTTTAATTAGGGATTTAGATTCTTCATTTAGCCCCGCTATGTGTTCAGTTCGGCAACTTCTAGAAATATATTTTCATGATATTTGTATAAATTTGTCGTATGAATTAGAGCACGGTTCTAGCTGGGAAACTTCTTGATCTAATGCTTCAGCGAATTTTTCCCATTTTGCATTAGTGAAATTGAACCTTCTCTTGAAAGGAACAATTTCGTATCTGATTGCCGCGTTCAAAAAACAAGTTATTGGTCTGTGCTGGGTTTTTGGGAGGGTGCTTCCAACAATTTTTGTCACCTACAGTGACAAAATAGTTGACTATTTATAATATATTCTTAGAATATAGATTATATAGATTCTATATAGATATATAATATAAATTAACATTTTCAATTCTGCATAAAATATTATATTCTCGCACTAAATTTATAAACAATAAACATCATACTGATCATACTCTCCGATTTCATTAAATCTTTTAATATCCATGCCTCTAACCTACACTAAACAATATTATTTAGGTTGTACTTTTGATTTCGCGATATCCTACAACATAATAACGAACTGCAATAAACACAATTTATTTTCCAGATAACTTTTTATTCAGTACTTTATTTGGCAAATAAATATTTTATATTTTATATGTCAGATAATTTTAATTTATTTTATCTGTCAGTGGATCTGCTCAGATTTCTCTAGGTGACGCTATAATTTGAAATCTAAACCACAGAATAAGAAACAATCAGAATGCCTACTATCAGATGCCGCCTTTGAAGTTTTTCAGCACGCGATCGCCATGTTTTAGACGGAAACATAGACTCGAATTGACAAATTTGTGACAAGCTATGACAGAACTGTAATTTAAATTTTTAGAAATTAATAATTCAGTAGATTTGAAATAATTTAATCTATTCTTCAACTAAAAGTACGAATAAAATAGTGCATATTATGTCTGTAGTTGCCGTAAATAAATTAAACCGGGTTAATTTGTCTATGCACACCAGATAAAATGTCACTAAACAGCACTGGTTAGACATAAAACTTTAAATTATTTTGTATTCAATCGTACCTTAAAAATATTAATAATATTATTTATTAATTATATTACTTAATATGTAATTAATATTTTATGTTTTATGAATTTATCATTCTCTCTCCTCAATCCTGACCCCCCAGGTGGAGTGAAGTGGTCGACGTGATGTCGTGTATTGTCCGTCTCCAGAGATCTCTGTCTCTGGTCATTTCTTTTAATTCATGCATAGGTCTTTGGCATATTCCTGTAATTTGATCTATCCATCTTGTTGGGGATCTTCCTCGTGATCTCCGGCCTTCTACCTTTCCTTGTATTATGAGTCTTTCCATGTTTTCTGTGTTTGCTCTCATAACATGCCCAAAATATTTTAATTGTTGGAGATGGACTTTACTAGACAGTCGTTGGCTAACTTTTAGCTCTCTTAAAATTGAATTATTTGTTCTGCGGTCGGTCCAAGGAATTCGTAACATTCGTCTCCAACAGAACATTTCAGTGGCGTCTATCTTTCTTCTCTCCAATTGTCTCAGAGTCCAAGATTCACATCCGTAGGTCAGTATTGGGAATATTAAGCAGTTGATCAACCTCATCTTTATCGCTCTTGAAATTTGACAGTCCTTCCATATTTTGGTCATTTTTGCTGTGGCAACTTTTGCTAGATCAGATCTACGTTTAATCTCTTCTTGTAATGACCCTGTATTTGTGATTAATGATCCCAGATATAAGCATGAGCTCACAACCTCGAACCGGTCAATTGTGGTTATGTGTGGATGATTGTTGTGTAGTCTATCCACTATCATGATCTTTGTCTTTGATATGTTTAATTGCAGACCAAATATTTGACTTTCGTTTTCGATCAGTCGTATAAGTTCTATCAGCTCTGCTTGACTATTTGCAAGAAGGGTTGTGTCATCTGCGAAACGTAGGTTGTTTAGTTTATGACCATTTATTGAGATGCCCTCTTCCCATCCTTCAAGTGCTCTTCGCATAATATACTCCCCATATATGTTGAATAATTGTGGAGATAGTATACATCCTTGTCTGACACCCCGCTCTGGATGAAATTCGTTTGAAAGTGTGTCAAGTACTTTAACTGATCCAGTAGTGTGTTCATATAGTTCGGTTATAAGCGTAATTAGATGTTGTCAAGTACTTTAACTGATCCAGTAGTGTGTTCATATAGTTCGGTTATAAGCGTAATTAGATGTTGTGGTACACCTACTTCTTTTAGTATTCGCCATAAGTGTCTCTACTTGACCCTGTCGAACGCTTTACGGTAATCTATAAAACAGATGTATAGTGGGATGTTGAATTCCCTAGATTTCTCGATTATCTGTCTTATATTCAGCAGGTGTTCTCGAGTGCCTCTACCTTTGGTAAAACCAGTTTGTTCTTGTGGAATTTCTCTTTGAAGGACTGTTTTCAGTCTCTCATTGATTATGTGTAGCATTATCTTGCTGGCATGGGATATAAGAGAGATAGTTCTATAATTGTCGCATTTATGGAAGCTGCCTTTTTTATGTATGGTCGTTATTGTAGATTTTGTCCAGTCTTCAGGCCATTGTTTGGAATACCATATTTGGTTACAGAGTAGATGAAGTAACTTTACGCCGGTTTCTTCTGTGGCTTTAAGCATTTCTGCTGTTATCATATCTGGACCTGGTGCTTTGTTATATTTGAGCTTGTTGATAGCCTGTCTTACTTCATTTTCGAGTATATCAGGTTCTTCTTCCACCTCGTCAGAGATTTGGCTAACAAGCTCTTGGCGTTGATCATCTTTATATAGGTCCCTGCAATACAATCTCCATGTCTCTGCTATGTCTTCTCTGTTTGTTCTCAGGGTTCCAGTGTTATCTTCAATGGCCCAAGTTCTGGCTTTGAAGTCTCTTGTCAGGTAGCGTATTTTTCTAAATAGATCTCTCGGCTGATTATTCTGACCATGTCTCTCAATTTCTTTGCATATACTTTGATAGTACTGTTTTTTGTCGGCCTTACATCTTCGTTTTATTTCTTTATTGAGGTTTCTTAAACTAGCTTTTTCCCTTTCACTATGTACACCACTACAAAGATTTCTTCTATTCTCAATTATTTTAAGAGTTTCATCTGTTATCCAGTGTTTCCGTTTCACCGGATTATTTTTCTTTGAGCGATCCACTGGTGTTGTTACGCAATGTTTAACAGTCTCCCATATTTCTTGTGATGTTCCGTTACGAATAGAGGGCATACTTTTCTGTACTTTCTATAGAAGGTCTTCTTTCTTTCTTAGTTCTATACTCTTTATCTCTCTTTGTTTGTTGGGTGCTTTAAGTTTAAGCATAACTTTAGCTGCGAGAAGAGTATGATCGGATCCGCATATCGCCCCTGGATATGATCTGGCTGTTTGAATGGACGATTTCCAGCGAATATTGGTGAGGATGTAATCTATTTGATTTCTAAATCTATCTCCAGGAATTTATCATTAAATATATTATAATTAATTTATCATTATTAATTAAACGTATCGTTTCAAAAACAAAATATCTTTGACTGATGATAGCTTGAAATGTCAGTATTTCAGATTTCTTTGTTCAGATGGCGTTAGGATTTTAAATCTGATTAAAATGATTTTGTATTAAATTCTACCTTAAAAATATTATTAAAATTAATCATTAATTATATTAATATGTGCATTATAGTCGGCTAAATCTTTTATTTCTGTGCTAAATAATTTAATTATAATTTTTTTATCGTTTAAGATGCGTGTCACCAAAAATGAGCTCGCGTGTCAGCATTGACACGCGTGTCATAAGTTCGCCATCACTGCCCTAGTACATGCTTAATTTGACTACCAAGCTTTACAATAATTTACTTTTTGTTAATGGTTTTATTATAAAAATAATGTTATGATTCGTTTCAGGTGATAACTCCATGTAATACTCCAGCTACTCCGCCAAATTTCCCTGACACATTACTGGCGTTTTCCAAACTGTCGGCAGGCAACGGCAACAGTCCGTCCACGAATTCGGCAGGAGCCGCTCCTCTTCCACCACAGTCTCGCCGTTCCCCGCAGCCCATTTTTCACCAGCAGCGATAAAATAGTGCCAGTTGGCTTTTGTGCCCCCATTAAATCACATTTACGCTCAGTGTAAAAAACTTTGTATGTAAATTGGAGACTATGATAAATGCTAGTGAAATTTGTTGAGATATATATTTTGGTTAAGTATTTTGTTGAGAGAACACTGTTTTGATTTTTTCTTGTGGTAAAACAGAACAAGCAGAATTTTTTGTTGAAAACGGTAGAACCGTCAGGATAGGTTGAGATGTTTCAAAGTTTCAAAATAATTGATTGACAGACGGATGGTCAATAAAGTTTGTCTTGTACAGTTTCTTTATTACTTAGTATTATCTTTCCAATGATATTCTCTAAATTCTATGTTAAATACAAGAATTGTTAAAAACTATATTTTTTGTGATGTACTTAAAAGAACAAATCATAGTGGTTCGAAATCTATTCGATTACTTAAATTTTGATATTTTTATGCTGTTAGGGTGCGTTCATTACGGAGACCATCGCATGGTATCCTCCTTTAGATCATAGCACTGACAAGTGAACGCTCGAATTTAAAATAATGCATTTATTTTAAGTAGATCTAAGAGTACTAGGGACAAGGATCGAAAAAATACTAAGCTGGAATACTATGGTCCAAGTCTATGGTTCGATACCTGGCTCGAGGCTGGGTGCTGGGCTTTGAGATGAACGCTGGAATTTTTAAAATAAGGCATTTATTTTACGGGGCGATGATACTATGGTACCATCCTTTGGTCGGCGCCTTGTTAGTTTCCGCAATTAACGAGGCGCCAACCCTCGCTCGGACTATAGGATGGTATCATAGTATCATTGCCACGTAAAATTAATGCAATATTTTAAAAATTCCAGCATTCACCTCACAGCCCAGCGCCCAGGTATCGGACCATAGACTTTAACCATAGTATTCCAGCTTAGTATATTTTCGATCCTCGTCCCTAGTACTCTTAGATCGACGTAAAATAAATGTATTATTTTAAATGCGAGCGTTCACTTCACTATCAGTGCTATGTACTAGGCGAGGATACCATGCGATGGTATCCTCGCTATGCGATGGTATCTAAGACTTGCTCATTATTGCCAAATCATTAATCAAACCGCGAATTGGTTTTATCAGATCGGAGGATCCTTGATTGCACTATGTTTAAACTCATAATCGACGAGATAATATCTAATGAAGTTCAGATTAATGCAGGAATTAATGACAAGGATTAACCCCCTATGTGGCTCAGTGGTAAGAGCGCCTACCTTTAAACCTAAAGGTCGTGAGTTCGAATCCCACCTGGGTGGAAATTTTCGTTTATTAAAAGAAAAAAAAAATTAATAAATGAAAATAATTTCTATCCTTGTGTGATCGGTACTCACCGGAGGGACCGCAGACGTTCGGATACAATTAGCGTCTCTTAGCAAAGACAATGACGTCGACTTTGCTAAGTATCAAGACAATTACTCTACACACACAAACACAGACACACACACTACATTAATAAACTTATCTTGATTGAGACTGGCTGAATGACAATTATTGTCCAAGCCAAAACACAAAAAAAAAATGACAAGGATTATTTAAACGGTCAGGCCCAGCTGCACTTTGTTCCAAGTCTATTAGTTTTTTCCAAAGATTGCGATGTTTGTTCAGAGCAGCAATTATTTCCTTGTTGACCTCTGCATAAATCTGCGCCATTTTTTCAGTTCCACTTCATGAACTTGTATAAGATCTTCTGCGTAAGTATCAGAATTACAAAATAGAAATTCATTTTGAACACATTCGGAACAGTGACAATCCTACCACAGTGATTTTAGTTTTTGACGCAATTTTTCATCAAATATCTTAATATTGGCCTTATTTAACAATTCGTATTTTTGCAATTCAAGTCTTAACGATTCCAGAGTTGATAGAGAATACCCTGTGTATTTTTTATGAATATCTTCCCTTTCCACAAAATCAATATCTTACAGTCCACAGATTTTCAACTCTGTTTCTTAATTGGTCAATTTTCTCTTTTGTATCTTTAAAAGCTTTTGTCACGTTGTCCTGAAACGTGTCAACGTTTCAAGACAACTTGACAAAATGTCTTTTTTTGGCCAGTAATAAGTATTATTTTAAATAAATGTGCTGGATAACATGCGTGACCAAACTTCATTCTGCTGATAGTAGTTATACTTTTTCGACTGTAATCGTACTCATTGTACCGAGGTTTTCTCCTTAATTTGGTTTTGTAAGTCTAGTGTAACGTGTTGGATTTGTAAAGCTGTACCCTTGCCATGGATAGGACCATTTCTTCATCATTCTCTGTTTTGCTATGATTATTTGTTCATCTGTGGTCGATCTATAAAATTTGTTAAACTTTAAAATTATCAAAAATGGATTTATAAATTTTCAGAACGTTTTTAGTCTATGGGACCATGTAAGAGGACTCCCAATAAGAATGTCTTGGTCTTTTTTTTTTAACGAAAGCGGTAAAAATTGCTGTAAATCAAAAAAAAAATTATTGCAAAATATAATAGATAACAATTATGGTCCGAATAACGGTCCGATGAACAGTGTGTTCTATGTTCCTCTTCAAGTCTTCAATAGATTGTGGTTTGTTCACACAGACCAATGACTTAACATAACCCCATAAAAAATAATCCAACGGTGTTAAATCGCAGCTTCTTGGAGGCAAGCATCTAGTTTAAGTTGCTGAATTCTCCTGGTATCCCTAGCATCAAGAGAAATCAATGTTTCCGGGAACTTTTCCTTCAATAAATCAATAGTTGGGGCAGTAGTGTGACCTGTTGGAAAAACATGCCATCCAAATCCATTTCATCCAACTGGGTCCACAAAAAATCCGTTATCATCGTTAGATACTTTTCACCGTTGATTGTTACTCATGTTCGAAAAAATAGGGTCTGATAATGCCACCATGCCATAAACCGCACCAGACAGTGACTTTCTGGATGCAAAGGCTTCTCAAGAATCTCATGTGGATTATTTTTACTCCAAAAACGACAATTTTGCTTATTCACAAAGCCGTTTAACCAAAAATGAGCTTAATCGGAAAAGATTATTTTTTTGAAAAAATCGCCATCATTTTCGAGTTTGTCTAGAGTCCAATCAGCGAAAAAACGACGCTTATGATGGTCAAGTGGCTTCAGTTCTTGAGTCGGAACAATTTTGTAAGGGTATAGGCCTAAATCTTTTCTCAGAATTCGCCAAGTTGTCAGTCTGGTGAGTCCAAGTTCTTGACGATTTCCGGACACATTTTCATTCTCCACTACACTGGCTCTTACAGCAGCAATATTGTCCTGAGTTCTTGCATTTCGGCATCTAGTTAATGTTTTCGTATCGTGCTGAGGAAATTCACGTTCAAACTTTTCCACGATTCGACGAATTACACGCACATCAGAATGATGATTTGGTCCATAACTTTCTCGTAATGCACGATAGGTATTCACAAAAGATCGATTATTAGCATAAAATTTTAGGATAATTTCCAAACATTGTTCAAGCGAATGTCTTGCCGTGGCAATTTGTTAGAGTATACTAAATACAAACGTCAGCAAGTGACAGTTCTACCATTTTCAAAATGGCCGCTATGACATTTCAAAAACAGGACGTCCCTATGGTGAAACCCTTTACATAATGACTTCTAAAAACATGCCAAAACGTGTTTATTTGGAAAAATTATAAATCGAGTCATGCATAACATGAATCATATTGCATTTCTAAAGATCCAATATGAATTCCAAATGGCTCAACGTGAATTTCGTTACTATTTGTGTTGAGATCATTTACTATGAATGCTAATGTAGTTTTTTTGGTTTTGAATTGTTCAAATCTGCAAATTCATCTTTAATTTTTTTTGTAAGTGTGCTGAAGTAATTCGTATTAACAGTTGCACTACTCTACTATGGAGCTGAATCATGGACATTAAACTGGAATACAATAAATCGAATTAACGCGTTTGAAATGTGGACATTTAGAAGATTGTTAAGGATTCCATGGGTAGATAGAGTCACGAATGCAGAAGTGTTAAGGAGAATAGGCAGAGAGAGGGAAAGAAATTACAATAAAAGAAAGGAAATTGCAATATCTCGTACATGTAATGAGAGGCAAAAGATTCAACATGTTGAGACTCATAATTCAAGGAAAAATAGAAGGTAGGAGAAGCGTAGGAAGAAGGCGCGTTTTCTGGTTGAAGAACCTGAGAGAATGGTTTGGTTGCAGCTCAAGGCAATTGTTCAGAGCAGCTGCCTCGAACGTCAGAATAGCCATGATGATTGCCAACCTTCGTCGAGGAGATGGCACCCAAAGAAGAAGAAGTTGCACTACTGTTATCGCGATATTGCTTTAGAAACTGAAAATGAAGTAATTTACCGCTCTGAATATCTTCTGCAAAAAGAATTATTTTTTTTTATTACAAACCAATTCTTCCACAAAAACATAGGCTGGGTTTCCCTTTCCTTGCAGTTTTAGATTCAGCTCATATAATTTCGCTGTGATATCCACCATAAAGTAAAATTTTAGTATAAGTGACTGAGAGGATCGGTGTCTAACCATCTTTAATCGATTCAGAAGGCTTTTTAAAACTTTTTTTTGGTAAAATAAATAATATTTGGGTGTGGAACTAAAGAGCCGCATGCGGCTCATTAGACGCAGGTTACCGACCCCTGCACTAGATTATAATATAGTGCAAACTAAATGTTTACTAAAGCTAAAACACAAGTCAAATCGGCAATAAAAACACTTTTAAAATGTGAAGAGGTAAGATGATCTCTATCAAGTGTTTGAGCACGGACACACACCGTGTACCTCGCTTTACCACTGTTTTATTGCATGCGGAGATGCATGTTTATTGCCTAGAGGCAGGAGGAAAGTTGCATAAAAAGATTTATCGTTTAAAATCGGATTATATTTGAACAATTCAATAATTAAATCATTATTATGTAATAGGAACACATGCAAATTTATTGACCATTCTTCTAATTTATGCTGTAGAGTTTTATTTACCCATAATAAAAATTTG